TTCCTTTATGAAAGGCTTCTAAAGTTGTCTTAGATTTCTTAAATCAATCTGTAGCACATAATCAGTAAAACCGTATCATTCAAACAGAAAGATCATAACTTAGAAACTCACCCTTAAGCAGCTGTATCCTATTATGGGCTGTAACTTAACACATGAGTTTCAGAAGTTGTTAAAATTGAGTTCAGGCTAACAAATCTGAGCTGTTAAACAAAAAAATCCTCTACCAAGATGAGGCAGCAGTCCATGAAGAGTTCCCAGACTGATCTTAGGGGATAGATGTCTATCATCTTTCATCTTGGCCTATTAAATCTTATTTGTATGTGACAAGCAATTATATTAGGACAGATTTGGTCCTTAAGTGATGAAGGAGCCACATATATATATTTTTCTATTTTGAAAAATTTTCCTCTGGGGCTGAGACATTCAGTATTTAAACTCCGTCAAATGATTATTTACTGGTAAAATAAGGTAATAGGCCTTTTGGCTGATAGCTCAGCTGATATCTACATATTTTTCTTAGTATAAATTCAAATAAAAATAGTTGTGTCTTGTATTAAATAAGCTAAAGTTGGCCTTTGAATAGGTTTGGAAAAAACAGATATTCTAAGTTTAAAGCTACAATTTCAGGGTTTAAGCCATTGCAGTTAAAATGCAGTTGCTATTATAAAATGAGGTAGCGAGTTGGAGTTTGTGTTGTTTCTGGACAACTGTACTCTTTCAGGCACAATTTATATGGTGGGATGCAATGCAGTACATATAGGGATTTTACTGCACAAGGAACTTCATCCCTTTCATCCTACCCCATTCCTTTGTGAAATGTGAAAACTATAAATGTATCATCAAATTTATAGATTTCAAGTAACTACAGTAAAAACCATGGGTTGGAAAAAATACTTGACTCTTAAGGATTTTTGTTCTCTTATGCAACATAGAGCCAGATTCATGATTACTAAGATGTTTTCAATAGCCCTATCATTTGGTCCCACTTTTCCAAAGGATAAAAATATACTCTTTGAAGTAAAGCATTCACCTATCTGGTATTAATAAACTTCTCATGCAGAAAAATGTTTCCCCGACTAAAAGGGTTAATGTACTTCAAATATGTGAGAATTTTCTTCTGGTTGAGCAACATTAATAAAGGTTTTTACCTAACCTTTTCATTATAAAATTTGGTAAAAAATAGTAGTGTAAGCTAATATGGCAGTTCTAAAGTCAGTGTTAGAAACTGACTCATTTTTGTGGCTGCAATGACAATTACTGCAATGACAAACTTTCAAACAATCGTTTTTAGAACATGTGTCTTGATTTCGGTCTCTAATCAGTGAAAGTGTTTTCTCCCCATAGGCAAGTTTGACATGCACAAATCTTACATAGTATCTCAGCTGGCAAGTGGCAATTTCCCCTAACTTAGGTATCAGGAAGTGTACCTCCAACAGATGTCAACATAAACTTTTCCCAAACTTTTTCCTAAGGGCATAAAGTTCTAGAACTAATCTAGGACCGTGGTTAGTTAGCTTCAGTGTTTCGTGATTGCCTACACGTTAGCAAGACCCAACCTCCCGCCTCTGCCTGCCTCTGACTTCCTGGGCACGTGCTTACTGGACTGCCTTTAGATAAGCTGTTTCCTCTCCTCAAAAACACCCTTCCCCGCTCCACTTTCCATCACCTTTCTGCTTGGATGTGACTACTTCACAGGCTCCCTCCAGATGCCCCAACGGCAGGGTCTAGAGAGGACTGGGGAGACAGAATTCATATCCTGCCTTCATCCTTTACTAGCTGTGTGAATTTGGCAGATCACCTTAGCCTCCATGAGCTTCAGTACCCTTCCCTAGAAAGTGCAGTAGTACCTACATTACAGGGTTGCTGGGAGGAAGGTTTTTAGCCCAGTGCCTGTCACAGATAAGGCCTTGATATCCTAGTGCTACTGTTAAATAGAAGGAAGAGCCTAAGGATGGCAGGTAAGCTTATGATGCTCTTGTAATTTGAAAACCTAAGGTGTACGTGAGGATTTGAAAGCCCAGCCGTCTTGAATTCATGCTTTCTTTTGAGAAAGTATGTGTGAAACTGTCAAGCAGTGGCAAACAAGCAGCAGGTTCACAGGCCACTTTGAGAGTGAATGGGGCTGCTTTTGCTACCACCCGTCTTTGGTTGTAGTGCATGAAAACTGAATGAAAAGAAACTGACTATTGCACAGAGCTGAGAATAAAAGGCAGCACGGATATATGACATAATTTCTCTGCATAGAGGTGCTGTCTGATACCGTGGAACTATCCAGTGCTACTTGTTACAGAGCACATACATTTATGTGGTGCAGAGTAGCCCAGTGTCAGCCTAGATAAACTTCAATTGAGAGCTCACCTTCTTTAAAACCTCTTTTCATTATTTTTTATTTGAAATGTGAAATAGAGAAGTAAAGAAGAACAAAAAGTGTTATGGAATTCATTTCCTCAGGAAAGAAATTTTTTTTTAAAATCGCAACTATTGTCAGACAAACACCTTATGTAAAATAAAATGATACATTTAACATTGCAAAATGTAAAGCACTATTTGATGGGCTTCTCTGGCTGACAAAAGCATTTGAAGTTTATTTCTTTAAATGAACGTAGCATTCCTACGTACATCTGTCTCCAACCAGAAAACTCTCTGAGGACTTTTTCTGACTAAAAGAGAAAATTCAGTTACTATTGAATGTTTTTAAGTAGATTAAAAGCCAAATGAGGGCAACAAATGAATCAAATGACCATTTATGCTTCCTGCATTATGTGCATCCAAAAAGTAGAGTAAATGCTGCCTTTGCATTCACATACGAGGAATTTAGCAAAAGCCTGAATGTCTGCCCTTCCTCCTCCTCCTCCTAATGCTCCTTTGTTCAACTAGGCTGGGTTTTAAAACTCTTGGATCAGCTTTTCATCTTGCAGGAAAGCAAGGTAGCAATTTTTCTTAAGTAATTGGCAGTGATGCGTTCAAGAGCTCAGTCCCTCTGGCAGAAAGACTCAGGGGGGGGTGGTCGCGGGGAGGAGTCACAAGTGAGCAGGAGGAGAAGAGCCTCTTAAAACCTGCCATTGCAAGCCAGTGGCAGCAGGAGTGTGGTGGCAGCAACCTGTGGGTGTGCCAGGGAGGCCCACGTGCCGAGCTCTGGCACGCGGAGCACCACGGGTTGCCAGGGCACGGCTGAGCCCTCAGACTTTTGATGTTCAGCCCTGGAAAGTTAGTAAACCCATCCCCACTTATTCCACAAGGACGGTGAGTAGTTGGCTGTGTTTCAATGTTATGAAAACTCCTGGTAGAGAAATTTGCCATTTGACTTACTTTCATTTATTCATTTTTCAGATTAGAAAAGCCACAGGGGAAAGGAACAGCAGATTAAAATTCACACCAGTTAAGTCAGGCAAGTAGGTGCAGAGTGGCAGTCCAGAGAAAGTCCACGGTGCTATGTTGTCAAATTTAGGTTCTATGTTAATGAGAGAAATATATAAAAGGGAACACATTTTTTTGTTTTTTCCATATAAAAGAATGCCTGAAAAGGTCTGGGTGACAGAATTTCATGTATGCTTTATTATTTTCCTCTTTAAAACTTCTATTCTCTCTTCTAAATTGTACAAAACTGCTGAAACTTAGTGCAGCTGAAAAGATGGGCCAGACAGTTTCAGATTTAAACTTCATAAATTTACAGGGAGCTCAAAGCAAAATCTTTCCTCTAGTTCTTTTTACTCCTTCTACGCTCCGAACTCTCAGCCTAAGTTCCCTGGTCCTATACAATTTATCCAAAGCCATGGGCAGCCCAAGAGCCCTTTTATCTTTCACTAGGAATTCAGCGCTATTGTAGGAGAGAGACATTCTTTCCTTCTCCTCTCACTTAAAGAAACATACCAAGCCTTGGACTCCAGGCTAGTCTAGGGGATAGAGTGATTTTTATTAGTTCTAACATAGCTATTGACAGATGCTTAACGACAATATTAAAAAAAAAGAAGAAGAAAGAAAGAAAAAGCTTTCACTTTATGCCTTAGAGGGCACATTGGTTACAATTTAATTTCACAAGAGGAAAAATTTATAGAAGTGGCCCAGCATTCCTCTTTCTTCATCATACATATGAGATGCATAAAGTAAAAGGACATCTGGAAAGGAATGTTATTCAGTAATCAGAAAGCAAAAATCCAAACCACTGATGTTTTGATGGAGACAAACATAACTAGATTCACAAGGAGGAAAGCTGTAACCTATTGAAGTTTAAAAAAAAATCCATATGCATTTTACCTTTTGGGCAGTTCCAGAGCAAAGTTCTATTTCAGAAGCCCTTTGTAATATGAAACCCACTGTAGATAAGATACAATGAGAAGATAGTCTGCTTTGGAGCAGCAGGCAATCAAATTGGTTCCAGAAATGAAGTTATGTGACAAATGGTTTAATAGAATTGGAATGCTTGATTGAATTTTTTCATAATCATTTTAAAAAATATTTTCAATGTTTGTTGTAACAAAGGGGTATAGTGGTGGGTGGGGAGTGTGCTGGGACTGGGAGCATCTCGTTTTATTGGTCTTTTAACTCAAGTGTTAAAATAATTGGTTTTCAAAACTTAAAATTTTCAGATGAACACAATACTTTATTTGCCATAATGACCATGTATGGTGGAGGATTAAAGAGGTTAACAAATGGAGATATATTTTTATTATCATTTCCAAGTTATTTTTAGTTTTTATCTGAGTTCCAGTTAGCCTGGCTTTCTTTAAAAATCATCTGGAAAAGTTCATTAAAACTTGGCGGGGTTTTTATTTTAGACGGGAGCTCTAAACAGCAAGACGTATGACTGCGAAATAACCCAGCGTCTCATGCCCGTAGGTGAAATGAAATCATTTATCTGACTGAAGTCAGGAACAAGTTAAATATCACTTAGACCACAGCACACGACCACAGAGATTTAGAAGAAATCATACTTAAATAGGATATGACTAGACAGGACAATTTTCTAAAAAGTCAAAAAACTTTTCCCCTCTTTTACTTACAGTCTTTGAAGACTACAGCCGGGTCTCTGTGAGGCAAGACTTGGGCAATGATGTGTCGCAGAGATTCCAAGGTTCTGTCCATCTCGGGTCTGCCTGTGTGTGCCTGCTGCACAGAGTGTCCTCATGCCTGAATTCTTGCAGTCCTGGACTGAATTTGTGCAGCTCATTGATGCACTGGATTACCAAAGAATCCCTTTTAACATCTGCCAATCAGACATTTCCCAGAATCTAAAGACCCCTCAGGGGGCCCTCCTCGCAGGCTCACTTATCTTTGTTGTAGGCTGAGCTAATTAGCTCGAAAGGCTGGCTGACAGGCGGGTTCCCATTGCTTCCTTCTGTTAAACACACCCACCTACAGGCTAGCTGGGGAAGCTCGCTAATCATGGGAACACATTTCCTCTCCAACCAGATTTTGCCTGAATGTTAGGCAGCTTTTTCACTTGGATATTTTCTGTTCATCTTCAGTGGTGCTGCCCCAAGAATATAGAATCAAGACACTTATTTGTCAAGGAAATTTCCTCAGTAATATTGGGATAGCACAGGACTACGAGCAATATGTGATCATTATAATCAACAGGATCTAAATTCTCCTTTGGTAAGGAGTATTACAAAGATTGTGGTTGTAGCCAGATTGTGTTTTGTATCTGATTTCAGGGTCATTTCTTCTGGAAGCTACGGTTTAGTCCCCTCCTCCCCATTTCTACTCAAAATATTGTCACTTCTGATGGGTAGTGGCAGCAAAACCTAGTGGACTGTTTTACAGCTTGCCTGGGAACATTTATTTCTGTTTATCCTTCACAGCAAATCATTCCTAGGGTTGACTTTAATTAATTCTGATATCATTCACTTCATTTCATGATAATTCTTTCTGATAAAATTTTCAGAAAAGATCTTAGGAAACAGATATTCTTTTTTCTCTATGATCTCTAATAATTTTTAAAATGATCTTTGGACTGGAGACAAGTCATGTGATTTGATTTCAATAATAAGGAATTATATGGTTAAAATAACTGATTTTAATAATTGCAAGTTATGCTATTTGTTGAAAGTTGTGGTGGACTTTTACATTTTTAATTTGAAATGTCTTTACATGACAGCCAGGCACAATGGCATACACCTGTAATTTCAGCACTCTAGAAGGCTAAGGCAGGAAGGTTACAAGTTTTAGCCCAGCCTGTCTCAAGATAAAAAAAAAAAAAAAGAAAAGGAAAATAGTTGGATGTAGCTCAATGCCAAAGTCATAAATTCAATCACCAGTACCACTCCCTCCAAAAAAAATTGCATAGTAGCACAACTGTTTTCCAATTTTTCATATTCCGCCATTATGTTTTGTGTGTGTGTGTGTGTGTGTGTGTGTGTGTGTGTGTGTGTGTGTGTGTGTTTCTTCCTGGCGATTAAACCCAGGGCTGTTGCACTGAGCTACATCCCTAACCCTTTTAAAAATGTAGTTTGAGACCAAGTTTGCTAAGTTGCCCAGATGGGCCTCCAACTTGCAATCCTCTTGCCTTGGCCTTCTAGATTGTTGGGATTATAGATGCATGCCACCACGCCGTGTTCATTGTTGTATTTTAGGACCAACTGAAACAAGTCCTTTAAGAACCATAGGAAAATAAAATATTCTTCATGAGATGCGTTTCTTCAGGTACTTGGTAGAATGGTAGGTTTAATAAAAAAGGCCTGGGGCTATAGTAACTAGTTCTTATAAAAATGAGTATTGCCTGGCAGAGGTCTGTAGTTCAGTGTGGACCACACAAAATACAAACATAGGACTGGCTCAGGGTATGCAGACGTTGACTGAGAATGAATATATATATATATATAGTACTGTATCATTTAAATCAGTAAATGAGCATTTCTATGGGCTTAAATGGAATGCTCTAGCACTTATAAATATTTTGGTTCCATAATGTGGTGGATGGAACAATGCATTTGGGACTAACAAGATCTAGGGTTTGACTTTGCTGTCTGGATGGCCTTGATAAGCCACTCATCTCTGGGCTCATGGTTCTTATTCATGAGTTAAACTGGATGTGCCTTTTGGTTCTAGCACATATGATTCCATGGCTGTACTACAAATGAGGACAGATATTATAACAGACTTTCCAGTTTTCTGGAGTCACTTACTTACTTTTTAAAAAGTGGGATTGATTTTTAAACAGAACTCTTCTGTTCTTACTGCTAACCTCATATCCATTGATAACTCAGAGGCAAATCAATATAATGAATTGAAAGATTCTCACTGGTGATGCAACTATAGCGAAAGGTAAGAATTTATTAAGAAATCCCATCTTTCAGCTTCATAAGATTTTTTCTAAAGAAAACAGAACTATGAGCATCTTCATAGAGAGTCCTGAAAGAGCTTGCCAGACAAGTTTATATAAAATCGTGATCTTTAACGGCTAACACCTAATGAAAGTAGCAATTCTAACAAAGATCAATTGTACAACTTTTCAGCTAGATAACACAGTTCTTTCATTAAACCCAATCTTTTAATTAAAAAGTTTCTTAAACTTTGCTTGTGCATTTCTTCCTTGAATGTTCATAAGGTCTTCTTACCTTTAAGTGCTGTTGTAATACAGAATCAAAACAAAACAAAACAAAAACGACATGATGTTTTTACTATTTGTTTTCTTTGATATAAAAAGCAACTGAAGGAAATGGAAGAGCCTGATAAAACCATATTTTAATACAGATTTCATTGTAAACACCAACCATCTGAAGGCGAACATCAAAGACAAAAAGTATTAAAACAAGGGTAGACGACTATGGTAAAACCAAAATGGTGTTCTTACAAATCCTCTTAGAATACTAATTCAAAGGGTGAGAACGGGCATCAGCTGACTTCAAACTGGTCAAAATTTACACCCAGGGATAAAGAAGGAAGGCTCAATGCAGCAGCATGCTTACCAAGCTTCCAGAGAATGTAGAATTATCTGAGAAGATGAAAAGTTGAAGTGGTACACATTGCACTATTTCATGCCTAGTGCAACAGTGAAAGTATTTGGAGGCAATTTGTCTGATAAGAAAATTTCATTCCTGCCGTTCAGTAACATGTTTGTTTTTCTACTGCTCCTTACAGTCATAGATACAATAAGAAGGAGGAAGCCACCAAGAAAGCATAGAAATGTAAGAAAAATCATCTTTAAAACAAGAAGGAATCCCCTGGTCAGGCCATAATATGCTCCACTCTAGAGGAAGAAACCAAAGCTGGTGAGGCAGGAGAATGGGCCTGTATCCTGCAGTTGAGGTTAGTGAGGCCCCAAATCCCAAAAGATCTGAAGTCAAGGCCTGTAGCCTCCAAAGAAACGGCATGCAGCATCCGAGCCTGAGCTGACTTTCACTTCTCATCCTAGGTCCGGGATGGACTGAGGGAGGCCCCTGACTGCGATTTCAGAAGAGTATCTTCCTGGAAACAATTTCCTCACTTATTTATGCCTTCTTAAAAGTTTACAATTTAAGATAAAATAGATAATATGAAAGGAACAAAGGCCATGCAGATAAAAATGTTAGTATGGAGAGTAAATACTTTCTAGAAACAATGGGAAATGACTGGCAGGACTTCCGTCCAGGTTTTAGGAGAGATGGATGGAAAGACCTGGAGGGGCTCGACGTGGCATTGGCAACAGTGGGTCCAAGCTGCCTTCCAGAATGTTTGTAAGGGGGAGGGGAGGGGGAGCAGAAGTAGCCACACCTCGAAAAATCTGACTTTTTCTACAACTACAACTACAACTGATGACTGCTTTGTGTCAGCTTTATTTAGCCTCAACTAGAAAGAGTAGGTGGAGTGAACGACTGTGTCAACTATGTTTACTATCAACTGGGAATAAACAAGTTAAAGGGATGAATGAGTTAAAGTGAGCAAGTGAAAGTGTTCATTTACTTACTGTCTACTGGGAAGAACCCTATGAGATGTTTGAGTTAAGCTATTTAAGAGCGGGTCAGTTGGAAAGGCAACTATAGAAGACTTCTTTACAAAAATTTAAAAACAAAAGTAACAGAACTTTATCCAAGAATTTTGCTCATATTTCACTACATCCTCAATAAGGAGTAATCCAAAAGAGAAGTATTCTGTTGAAATACATGAAAAATATTTAGAGGCATGATTAATAGCCCATCTACAAGTTAGGGGACTGTAACTTTCTTGATTTTTATAGAAAACTATGAAAAAAGCACTAGAAAATGGCCCCTTATCTTTGCCAGTCAAAGCTCAAAACCAGAAAACACAGTGAAAATATCCCTCTCATTTACCTAAGCCTCTGATCAGCATACATTGACATACATGGCATATGTTTGTGGGCCTTGCATAAATCCATCTTATCGAGATGATCTTAGGTAACAAATTATCCAACCCTGCAATGGCATTTAGTCTTAAGGAGAAGCATAACTGCTTCTTCGAAGTTCTGTTGGGGAAACAGATATCATGGGGGGAGGTTTTGCTCCTTCACACAAACCATGGGAAATGACTGACAGGAAGTCCTTTCAGATTCTTTGGGAGATGGGTAGAAGGCACTGGAACAACTAAATGTGGGATTGACAAAGAAGGGTCAAAGCTTCATTCAAGAGCGTTTCTGAGAGTGTGGGAGAGAGTGATAAATTCAGAATTGCAGCTGGGAGAATTTGGATGTTCTAATTTATAAGATTGGGGATAATGATATCAAGGCTTTTAGTCATTAGATATGTGTTCATGAAAACTAAACTGGTACTTTAACTGCAGGTGGGTGACTTCCCTCATAATATATATTTTGAAAGGGACAGGTTTTAAGTCTTCGGTTTGAATTTGGGGTGGATTTTGTCAGTGGCTTTTACAACAACATTTTCTTTCATAAAGATTATTCTAATTATTTGTCTACCTTCTGTTGTTTCAGACATCTCCCTGCAGAATAGGAATTTATATTGTTGGCTATTCAGATAAAAACTTTATACAAGATGTGGCTATGAAGTGATCAGACTGATCCTAAAAGAAGCATCTGTACTGCAGAGTCTCTGGGCTATTCCTCAAATGAAGACAATGAGGTCTGCTTATACAAGTGCGCTAGGGGTGAGACACACTGCTTACTGGTTAAAAGAATGGCCTTTTTTATTCTTTAAAGTCACATTCTGGAGGTATGAGTCATATAGAATGCTTGAGTCTTTGCAGAAATAATGAGCATATTAAAATGAATATATAGACTAAGAAAAAACGTATTAGGTTAGAACAAACCTAGGGAGAATGTTTATTGGTTATAAACAAACGACTTAAGCCCGAGATTAGTTGATGATGTTAGATTCCAGCAACCAGTAATTTCACAACTCCATATATTTTAGACGAAACTTCCTGT